ATTTTCATTAATTTCTCCTTCTAGAGTTTTTCTTCATTTTTATTGTATGCCTTTTGGTTTGTGAAGGTTCATTATTACTGTTATGCATTTACTGTGAATTGCCCTTTTTTTACTGTTTATCTTTTAGAGATATTTTTTCTATACCACTTTGAAACCAAAATCAAAATAACAGTGAAGGCTAGTTTTACATTTTCAGTTGGTTTTGGTTTCCATAGTCCTTTTAAACTGAGATGCCCCCCCCCCTTTTTTTTTAGTTCTTAATTTTGAATCATCTCTGGGTGTTTTGTCAAGTATCTTTGAGCAGTTTCATTCCTTAAAGAAATCTGAGTTTTTGCTCCCTGAGTCTTTGATATCTAAAAATAGCTTTATGTTCCCTTTACATAAATAACAATTTGACCAGATTCAGAAACTTGTGATTATGTCCTTTTTCTGTGAAGGCTCTCTATGTGTTTTTCTGTTGTCTTAAAATAGTGCATTGGTGAAGTGTGTGGTCATCCATATTATTATTTCTTTATAGAAAGAAATGTCTTTGGCCATTAGTTTTAGAAGATGTTTTGCTAAGGTATCTGTAGGGTTATTATATCATTTTTCTGGCATCGTTATTTAAATGTTTTACTGAAAAATGTATAGATGTAGAGTCTTCTTTTCTTTTTCTCCTTCTTCTCCATGTCCCATCCTCCTTTTTGTATTGGGAAAATTTTGTTCTATTAAACCACACTTTACTCCTTGAGTTCCTCCAGAAGCCCTATAGTATTCTGGGGATTGCTTATTGACTGTCAACCTCTTTATTACCTTCTGCGACATCATTTTCACATGGCCTTCCTCCTATACTTAGAGCTTCTCACGTTTTACCTGACCCTCACTAATCCATTCTACTGCATCTTCAAGGCTATTTCCTGTTGCCACTATGGTTTGTAATTTGGCTGTCTTGTTTTTCATTTAAACATGGCCTTTACGTGTCTTCTTGCCTGCTGGTAGCCTCCTCTGCTGTTAGTTTACACACCTGCATTATCTTCTTTTGCATGATCAACTACATGCTATCCCACATTAAAAAAAAAAAACTGTGATAAGAGAGTGTACTTTCAAGTGTTCTTGGCACATTTACAGAAGTTGACTAACCCACCATAAGGACAAAAATCCCCCAAAGCGTAGGTTGTACCAACCAAACTCCCTAACAACAACAGATATTTTTTAAAAACTTTTTTTTTCTGCTGTTCCTTATAGCACAACTACTTCAGTAGAAGACCTTTCCTCTATGTCTTTGGCTAACTAACTTCTTGTCCTTTTCTGCGTGTCAGGGTCTTTAATAGACCATATGGTGAATGGTCTGTTTACTTCAGCCATATAGAAAAAGATTCCCGGTGACCAAGGATTGAAGTATATTCAGTGCTTGGATAACCAGGGCTCTGTTGGAGACCAAGGTAGGGCTCTGGAGTGAACCCGCCCAGTTCCAGAGTGGACAGGCCACACTATTCAGTATCGTACGGGTCAAGGGAACTGTGGAGGGTTGACTTAAGAAGAGCAGTGAGGGATGTCACCACTGAAGATATACTAGTGGTTGGTCTTAGAGGTGGTACCCCTACCCCGATCCCTTTCCCCTTAACAAGACCCATCACTTCTGTTGCAGTGTCGAAATTGAAACCGCCTGGGTAAGCAGGAAGAAAAACAAAATAAAATAAGTCTTTCCCATGCTCAGTGCTGTCTACCTGGCTCGTTCTCAGCCAGGGGCAATCACTGGGGCTGCTCCTTTCCCAGGACAGCGTGCAGGGTTCCTCATGGCTTTCCAGTGGCTCCACAGCCTGCTCTTCTACCTCAGTCCCAACTGAAGCCAGCTCTCATTACTCCAGACCATGTGGGGAGGGGCATCCTGCTTACTGCCCAGCCCAGTTCTTTTCCCTGTGGAAATGGGCAGTCTGCTGGTCTTCCGTGACTGGGCACCATGGCGGTGAGTGTGGCAGAAATCCTTCCAATTTCGGGTATATGGCTACTCGTTATCCTTATTCTGGTACTGTCGTGGAGTCTGCTATCTGTGGAGAATAAGGTTAATTTCAGTGAGACCATGTAGCAGGGGATCCAATGCATGTATTCTTCCAATGCTGTCTTGCCTTCAAGTCCAACGAATTACCTCTTGTGATGTCTTTTAGCAGAGATTGAATTTCCTCATTCAAGATTCACTTTCATGTCAATGATACATCCTTCTCCATAGGGAGTGGGTACATGTGCCTCCATTCTCCCCTTCTTTGCCAGCCAATCCCTGACCTCACCCAAAGAGTTAGAAATCCCTTGAATGCGGATGTTAAAGTCCAAAAGTTGATGTGAATTTTATGAGGCCGTTATATGTAAATAGTATTAAGACTCATAAATTGTCTCTAGGCACTAGAACAAAATAAATGATCACATTCCTTTTTTTTTCCTAAATCAGTTTCAGCCCTAAGCTCCTGCCTGCCTCTACTGGGGCTCCTTCTGCCCCCTGCCTTATCGTTTGGTGGAGGGGACTGGTCCTTCGTCCCTGGTGTTCCCATAGTTACTGATGCTCTTCTTGATGGGGAGCCATGGCTGGTGTGATGCCATCTGTCAAATACCGCTCTCATGATGGGCCACACAGATGTCCCTCAAGGTGTTCCTCTGACTGACTGCGGGCTTAGCCACACGCCTTTGCTCTCGAGGCCATAGGCTTAGTGATCAGTCACCAGAGATAGCTGAGTGCAAGTTCGCTGCCAGATCCAGGGGGAGGTTTCCTGAGGAAGGTGGAATGGCTATACTTTTATATCCTATTGAACAAATATTAATTGAAAGCCACGTATGGCCAAGGCATTGAAAAGACTTGAGAATTTAAAGATGAGTAACAGTCTCTATTGCCAAAAAGTGTACAGTCTTAGTGAGATGCAAGCAAGTACATACATGTCAGCATAATTGTCAATATTAACAAATCAGAATTTGGTAAATATCTGAGGAGCTAGTATAAAGGAAGAATGTTTTAAGTGCATCTTCTTCCAAAATATAACTTGTGTTCATCTACTTAGCTCCATCTCTGCTGATTCCTGGTCCAAACGTTCCCCCCCACCCCCCAGAGAACCTGGGAACATCCTCACTGGTCCTTCTGCCGCTGCTCCCCACACAGCAGTCCTGGAGGTATCAGTGATGCTTCTCAAAAGCAGATCAGAACCCGTGACTCCTTTGCCCACAACGTTTCAGTGGCTTCTCACTGCATTTAGAATAAAACCCAAGTTCCCTCCTGTGGCCTAAAAGACCGTGTGTGGTGTGGCCCCTGCCTTCTTTCCAACCTTCCCCTCTCCAGTTCCCCTGGCCCCAGCTCTTGCAGGCCTGAGCTCTTGCAGGCCTGCTTCTTTGCAATCTCATGACTGGGCCCTGCTCATTCTTCAGGTAGCAAGAAGGTGGGGCCTCCTCAAAGAGGCCTCCCTTGTCTTTCCTGCAGGCCTCCCACCCATTATTTTCTCTCATAACACCCTTTCCTTTTCCTTCGAGGAACTTAAATCAAGGTTATGATTACATCTCCCTGTTCCTCCCACCTGACTGCGAGATCCATGAGACCAAGAGCCACACCCAGCTTGCTTACCGCTGTGTACCTGTCCTAGGGGCCCGGCGCTCATTCTTTCTTGAACTAAGACTGCCTGGGGCGCCTGGGTGGCTCAGTTGTTAAGCATCTGCCTTCGGCTCAGGTCATGATCCCAGGGTCCTGGGATGGAGCCCCGCGCATCGGGCTCCCTGCTCAGTCGGAAGCCTGCTTCTCCCACTCCCCCTGCTTGTGTTCCCTCTCTCGCTTTCTGTTTGTCAAGTAAATAAATAAAATCTTTAAAAAAAAAAAGACGGCCTGAGTCCTAAAGGTGCAGAACAATTTCAGTGGTAGGTCAGGGGCATGAGAAAGGACATCTGAGCAGAGTGGCAAGAGCAGAGTCAGCATATTTGTAGACAAAAGTCACCCAGTATGTCTAGAAGATAGCACACAGTTTACTTATGGTGGTTTTGAAACCTATCCTGAATTTTTTATGCATCTTTTAAGCTAAGTTTTTTATCTGTTCTTTATTTTTCAACTGGGGCAGCATTTATTAAGAGCAGTAGATAGATAGCAAGTTTATTTCTAATCCTGGCTCACCTCCCCCACTGACATCGAGTTTAAAAAAAAAGAGTGTGATCTTGTGTAGGTCTCCATTATCACAGGGCTCTGGCGAGGATAACAAGTGGATGTTTAAAAAAGTACCTCTGTATTATCTGTAATCCTGGACTTAACATGCGCTGTCCTTTCTGTTACTTAAACTCTTTTCCTTTCTGTTTTAATCAAAACTTCCAGTTGAAAAAAATATTGTTGATTTGCACGATGAAAGGCAATTTTATCCTGGAGATACATTTCTGTAAACTTTTGATTTAGGGAAGCGCAGCCCAACCCTGACTGTCTCTTTCCCAGATCTGGACCCACTCTCCATTCCAGCTGAGATGTTTATATTATGCACAGAGCAGCTCCTGCCTGCCTAGGACTGGTGATTAAGAGCTCAGGATAATGAAATCTGCACAGTTGAAACTTGGCTGTTGGCTATGGTTATTATGCAACTCTTAACATTTCTCTTTTGTTTCCATCAATAATATAAAATTCCCAGTTTTTCTTTCTGAGCTCACTCTTCAAATACACTAAAATGTGTTCCACCAGTATTTTTTAGTGACCATGTTAAATTATTTCTTAAAGTTCAGATTACATGCTTTTCTAAAGGACAAGAAAATTTAGTGGCTGTGTGACACATTGTTCAAACCATCTATGAACAACCGAATGAACTGAAAGTACAAAGGCCCCTCGATGGGCCTTTGAGTTTTGCCTTTAAGCAGACTGCTCACCATGCTTTGATTCAAATAGCAAACTTAACAAGAAACACAACACAGGCGATGGTAAGAGATGGTGTATTCCAGTGTTGGGGTGATTTGGAGCAATTAGAAGATGCCTAGTAAGATGTAGACAAACGATAAGCCTTCCCTGCCTACCCTCCCTAATATCTGAATTTCTCATAGTAGGAGAGACTAACACACTGAGCTGGACTCAAAGAGTGGCTCTATACTGAAGTGCAGCTATCCAGGGGGAATAAGAGTATCTTGTACTTCATCAGCCACAGTGCCTTGGAATTACTGAATTATGGAGACAGGACGGTGATGGTCATCTAGCCGTCGTGTTATTGAGCCATAGTGAAAGTGCCTGACACTTCCTAAGAGCCTGGGTCTTAAAAGATGAACAGGACATCAGGAAGGCCATCATCTCAAGCCTGAAAGTGGGAACAGAGTACCACCCTGGGAAGAGAAATGATTTGAAAAAGAGACCAGGGCAGGTAAGCTCACATTTGGTTATGTCACTCTTTGGCTTATGGTTGTCCCTAGAAGAGAGTCACAAATAAATTGGGGGACCTGTGGACCCGAATGAATAGTCAAAGAAAGTTTTACAGAAGTGGGGCATGGTATACACTTACATTCCAAGCACTTTGGCACGTGTTAGTACCCCAGAAACACGTGATGATTCATTAAGGGCATGAGATGGGCACTTTGAAGGTGTAGCCACAGGAAAAATACGAAGTTATCAAACCACCATTTTGTGGTTTGCTAACATAGGAAAAACCGAGTGTATCTGTGTCATTGTGATTGTGATTGATTCTCCTAGAACCATTTATGATACAAAGGAGGAAATAAATCGGTCTATGTGGAGGCAGGGCAATTAGGAAAACTTTTTAGAGGAGGTCATATCTGAATAAGGTTTTAAGGAATGAATAGAATTTGCCAGGCAGACAAGGAATGGTAGAGGGTTGGCTGGGGAATAGTATGTGCAAAGGCTCTGAGGTAGCAAACAACATTTAAAATTTAGGAGGCCATTTTGTGTGGCAGAAGCATGCTGTCATTATTGTAAAAAATTACCAAAAATTTGGGGTGCCTGAGTGACTCAGTTAAGCATCCGACTCTTGGTTTTGTCTCAGGTCATGATCTCAGGGTCATGAGATAGAGCCCTGCGCTCAGCATGGAGTCTGCTTGGGATTCTTTCCCTCTTCCTCTCCCTCCCCCTCTGCCCTTCCCCCCGCTTGCACACACACACACGCCTGTGCTCTCTCTCTCTCTGTTAAATAAATAAAATCTTCTTTAAAAATTATCAAAAACTTAGTAGCTTAAAACAAAACAAATTTATTATCTTATAGTTCTGGAGTTAAAAGTCTGAAATGGGTTTCACTGGGCTAAAATTAAGATGTTGGTAGGCTGTGTTCCTTCTGGAGGCTCTAGGAGAAAATATGTCTCCTTTCCTTTTCCAGCTTCTAGAGGTCGCTTGCATTCCTTGGTTTATGGCCTTTCCCTCCATCTTTAAAGCCAGCAGTGTAGCATCTTCATATATCCCTCTCATTCTGATCTTCTCCCTCCTTCTTCCACATGAAAGAACCTGAGCAATTGCATTGGACCTACCCAGACGATCCAGAATGACCGCCTTATGCTAAAGTCAGCAATTAGCAACTTAATTCCATCTGCTACCCTAACTCCCCCATGCCATGTAATAGAATACATTCACAGATCCAAGAGATGAGGACATGAACATCTTTGAGGGACATTATTCTGCCTACCACACATGCAATAAAGATGTGGAGGGTGATGGTGAAGAGAAAGTTGGCATGATCCACCAGCCCTAGGTAGGAAAGATCATCCACCCAAAAGGGACCTATAATCTGATATTTAAAAAGGAAAAAAAAAAATAGGAGAAGGAGTCAAGGTCCTGGTGATTTTCCTAATGTATAATGGGTGTGTTACTGATACGTAACAAATCACCACAAAGCTTGGTGGCTTAAAACAATAATCTACTTTCTCATGAATCTGTAGGTTGCCTAGGTGATTCCTTAGCTGGGCTCACTCATAAAGCTTCCTTCAGCTGGAGAGTTGGCCGGGCCAGAGGGTGCAAATAGCAACACTCTATGGCATGTGGTGAAGCCATAGGCAGGCGACCTCGGTTACTCTCGCTGTGAATTCCATTCCTCTGCTAGGCCTGGCCGGCTTCCTGACATGACAGCCTCAGGACAGCATTCCCGCAGCGTGAGGGTGGAGCTGAGGGCATCTGGAGACTTTGGCTCTGGAACCCACACAGTCTCACCACCACATTCTTCTAGATCAGGCCACACAGTCACATAGCTCGAATTCAAGACAAAGGGAAATAGATTCCATCTCCTGATGAGAGTTGCAGTCGTGACCACATTTCCCCTAGCACAGGCCATGAAGAGAGGTGTTTTTCCTTTAAGAGTAGGATTTTGCAACTTGAGATTTCAGGGGTAAAATGTTTCTGGCGGACAATGTCCAGTACATGACCAAAGTATGAGGGGCTCAAGGAGAGTGCGGGGAAGGTCACTGGTGCTGAAGAGGTGGAGGGACTGTGGGGCCAGAGTGTGGAACACATCACCCCATGGACACAGCAAGAAAGCTGAGTTGGTGGTGAATGTGGAGGAGGGACGTGACGTCCAGAAGGTTACAGTAATCATGGAATGGGCACCTGGGGCGAACTGGACAGCCAGGAGGTCATGACCACAGTCTCTAAGCAGCCTGGGGATGGTGGGCACCAGCACCCAGGGGCAGCCACCCTGCACCCCCTCACTGAGTCCTCACTCCCCACCCCCCACACTATCTTATTCACTTGCCAGTCTTAATAAACGTCCCACTCTGATGTCCAGAATGTGTGGATACCTTCTTCAGCACTTCATGGTCAGCGTCCATGTCCCCAGGATTCAGTGAAAGTATGAAACGAAGTCCAAGTCAGTTTGAGTAAGATTACAAAGCTGCCATAGTAACAGGTTACCAGTGTCTGTCCTTCCTAGTTTTCTTTTTCTTTTATTATACTTTCTTTGTCTCCTCAGATAGGGATCTGAAGGCAAAAGTATGTCTGCACTGATCAGCAGGAATCCTGGTGGTGAAATTTATTAACAGTGTTAACTGAATAATATTTATTGCTCTCATTCTAGGTAAATAAAAATCAGAAACCAGATAGTCATTAACCAGATGGTCCTAAGAGCTCATTCAACCATAAGAGTGCCCAAATAGGAATAAATTAGAGCCCATAACAAGTAAAGAAGGATAAAATTGCATATTTTTATAATTATCATAATTTAATATTTATGTGTAACAGATAAATAATGGGTTCACAATACACGTGTAGATGTATTTTCAGATTACCACAAAATAAAATTTCTACCCAAAAGAAAAGATTTTAAGTATTTGGAAATCCAGAAAACCCTTCTTGGAAATGCCATGTCTCGAGTGAGTGATCTGGGCTATGAGTGTTGAATTCTGCCCTGCCTTTTATTTCCCTTACTTGTTGTCCCCTTTGTACGAGGCCCAGCACCTTTGGCAGTCACTTCAGTTTTGAGCAGATTGCTAAAGATTAGAGGACCCACGGATGTTATTCTCACCTTTGACACAGAAATTCTTTTTAGGACTGTGCATGAGATGTGTCTATAAATAAGTAATGATATTTTTGTAATCATAGCCTTAATATAAAACCAGGAGGGCTTTTATCCACTTCAGTGTGTCTTCTGTGAAAGCTCTACAGCTATTCCACCAACTCTGTCATGTTTCAAATTACTTGAGGGATTCCTTTTTGAGAGCTGCTCTCAAAGCTATTTTGCAAGCCAACAAGAAGACCAACCATGTATTTTTTCTTAAAAGATTTTATTTATTTATTTGACAGAGAGAGATACAGTGAGAGAGGGAACACAAGCAGGGGGAGTGGGGGAGGGAGAAGCAGGCTCCCCGCTGCAGAAAGCCCAATGCAGAGCTTGATCCTAGGACCCCGGGATCATGACCTGAGCTGAAGGCAGACGCTTGACTAAGCTACCCAGGCGCCCCCAACCATGTATTTTTTATGTCTATTTCAGTTTTGACTAAGTCCAAACATGCCCCCAAATTTTAAGGATTGGCTCTCTATGATTTTTATCTACCTAAAAAATAAAACTCACTTTCAAAAGAGAAAGGTTTTCTACCACTTAGTGCAATCAAAATACTATACCTCAGGCTCCAGAGTTGTGGGGCTCTAAATAGATCCTGTTTCTCTGACACAGGGTGCCCCTTGGTAGTATCACCAGAAACATATTAAGTTTCTTATCAATAACAACTGTTAGCATTTTTACTCTAGAATCTAGAAATACCCCAGAAAAATACTATTTTTTAGATTTTTATTTATTTATTTGAGAGAGAGACAGAGATAGCGAGAAGAGAGCATGAGTGGGGAGGAGAAGGAGAAGTAGACTCCCCACTGAGCAGGGAGCCCGACGCAGGGCTTGATCCCAGGACCCTGGGATCATGACCCGAGCCGAAGGCAGACGCCCAACCAACTGAGCCACCCAGTCCCCCCAAATGTTTTTAACCTACCTTTCCAACTGCATTGTCATTTAGCTAATTATGTCCAGCTCCCACCCAGAACTTTTTTGCCTTCTTTGCGTAACATCAGGTATATGCTCCATCTTGTACCTATGTTCTTTGTTTTTCAGTGAATTACTCTTTAATTACTCTACTAAAATGTATCCTTTTTATAGGTCTTTGTGGTTATTAGGTTTCTGATTTTGCATCCAATTCTGGTCTTCCTGCCTGACTCAATTCAAGGTGTTCATCTTCATCATTATAATTATAATCTTTGGGGTCATCAGTGTATCAGCTACATCAGTTCACCTAACCCTCACTACTTGAGGAGACTGGTACTAGAATTCCTATTTAACAGATGAGGAAGCTGAGGCTAAAAGCGCAAATACCTCACCCAATGGCAAATGGCTGGAAAATGGGGAGACTAGGATTCAAACTCACATCCCCTCGAAGGCAGGGATTTCTCAACCTCAGCACTCTTGACATTTGGGGCCAGATTATTCTTTGTGGTGGGGGCTGTCCCTTGTATTGTAGTATGTTTCAAAGCATCTCTGGCCTCTACCCACTAGAAGCCAGTAGCACTCCCCCACCCCATGTGACAACCGAAAATATCTCCAGACTTCGTTAAATGTTCTCCAGCAGATATTTAAGGACCACTGGTCTAATCCCAAAGTCAGGCTTATGCCCCATTATACTATGAAATCGGGAACTAATAAAACCATAGGCTAGATTTTGAAGAGATCAATTTGAGGAGTCACCACATGTGAATGATCATCAGAATTGAATTGGAGTTTTTTTTAAGCCTCTTTCTCCACCCGAGACCTTCAAAATCTGCATTTGCCAGGTGGGGAACAGGTATCTGTCTATTTTAAGCCTCTCTCTGGTGTTCGAACCACAGACCAGATCCTAACCTCACCACACATCTGTTCTTTGAATCACTCCACTCAATTCTTGCCAAATAGTCTCTAGCCTCAGTTTTAACACCTCCTGTGATGGTGTTACAGGAGACAATCTTGTGTTCAGATGGTACTAACTGGGAAAAAGTATTCATTCTACTTAATAACCTTCCTTCTGTCTCTCCCTCTATACTCTTAATCTCATATTATCCAAATTATCTGTTTTCTCAAATCAGGTGACTTACTGAGTCCCAGATATGTATTAAGCCCTACTCTGAACAGTTTCTTGACCATTATAGCCATTAAAACCACTCTCAACTTGTTAAAAGTGACCATCTAGGGGTCCCTGGGCAGCTCAGTCGGTTAGGCATCTGACTCTTGATTTCGGCTCAGGTCATGATCTCAGGGTCCTGAGATCAAGCCCCACATTGGGTTCCACGCTCAGCAGGGAGTCTGCTTCTCTCTCTCTCTCTCTCTCTCTCTCTTTCTATTCCTCTCCCTTTGCCCCTCTCCTGCTCGCACGCTCTCTCTCTCTCTAATAATAATTTTTTTTAAAGTGACCATCTAACCAGTTTTCTCCATTTAACAATAGACTTCCTCAAAAGGGCAATTATAATTCATTAAAATCTTAAAATCTTACATGGTTGGTCACCCATCCAGCTGCTGCCAGGAAGCAGTCCGCTTTGTATTTTTTGGAGGTTCCTGCCCCCAGGCGGGTGGGGAGCTGGCAAGAGCTTTCTCTCTTCCTTTTGACCCCTCACTCAACAACCCTCTTAAACCTTTTTGATGGTTTCAGGAAGATTCCAAACTAGCTCCTCATCCTGGTAAAATCATTCTTTACCATATGTTCCAGATTTCTTGATGAAAACAGAAAGAGAACTTAAAGTATATTGCTTTATGATGCCCCTCTTGAGAATATCATTTTTATGAATTTGATTAATAAAAACAGATGAATAAATATAAATTGATTTTATGGCTGTATCAAAATTCAGTTTTACAGTTTACCCTTCTTTAAAGCTGAGTAATCCTTTCTGCTTGCACTTTGGATCCCCCTCTAAGTCACCCATGATAGTGGAGAACCTACAGTAAACTGCCTTTCAGTGGGAGATTTGGGGTCGGTGGAAGATTGTGATGGTGTGGATGCTAATATCACCAAGGCAGCTTACGCCCCAATGTCTAAAGTTAACCCTGCAGGTGACCGGTCTCTTTCGTGGGTGCACACGAGGAGCTAGTGAACTGTAAATGTGTGCCAATGGTCCTGACTTGCCTGGATGGGTTTTCAGTAGGCAGGTTGTGTTTAGAGAAAACCAAGGAGAAAATAACATGGTAACGGGAATAAACCATTTGGGGTCAAAATAACAATCCGGCGATGTTTTTGTACTTGTGTGAGACATAAATAGAAAACTTGAGTTTGAGTTAAGCTTCGTATGAACTTCCAAACTTCTTGCTTATGCTTGGGCACCTCCAGAGAAGCGCCTGGACCGCTCTCGTCTTTGATTGCTCCGTCACTGTCTTCTTACAGAGCTTTATAAATGGACACTGACATGGACTACGAAAGACCCAACGTTGAAACCATCAAGTGTGTGGTCGTGGGAGACAATGCTGTGGGGAAGACGCGCTTGATCTGTGCCAGGGCATGCAACACGACGCTGACACAGTATCAGCTGCTGGCCACCCACGTGCCTACCGTGTGGGCGATTGACCAGTACCGAGTGTGCCAGGAGGTAAGGGGTACAGAGTTTCTTTAGACTGCTAAGGGGACATCCCTGCTGCTGCCAGTCTGATTTTAAAAGGGGGTCGGGGTAATTTGTGCATGCAAAATCAAGCTAATGTTCTTAGTGCCGCCAGAGAAAACAAAAGCAAAATGCGCCCTTGGGAGTCTGGCTACCCTATCCTGAACGAGGAGGGTTTGAGTCGTGTGATTCCAGGAGGGGAATTCGGACTTAGCTCAAGTCCTGTTAGATGGAACAAGAAAACTAAATGCAGGTGGGACAAGTAGGCCTGGAGGGTGCTGACCTGCGCACTCTTCTGCTGAGGAGCCTCTGAATGACACTGAGCAGGAATGCACTCTCTCTCCTGCAGGTCCTGGAGCGTTCCCGGGATGTTGTGGATGAAGTGAGCGTCTCTCTCAGGCTTTGGGATACTTTCGGCGATCATCACAAAGACAGGCGTTTTGCATATGGCAGGTAAACCAAGACCGCTGCCGTGCGGTTGAGCTTGAGTACAATTTCCTTTCCAAAACCTGCAGCTGCTTCATAAATCATCAAAAGCCACAACATATGGCCTTGAAATGTGTTGGGTTCTGCGCTGTGTTTAAGAAAAAAGAAAAAAAATGATATTTTCTGATGTCAAGAAAAGCAGTCTGCCTTGACACTAGGTCCCTCCCAGGAAGTCCCTCGTTTAAAACAACCAGTGTTCATTAAACTGGGACGATAGCTAGAGGATTCTGGTGTGCTCTGGCCCTGAGCTGCTTTGATTGCTATTTTCCTGAATGGTAATTTATTTACCTTTTGCTAGAATGTTTTAAGTTATTTTAGTGCTTGGCCACCCCACTTCAGAAGGTCTCTTTGGTCTTTTCATGACCATATTAGCAGAGTCTCATGTTATTTGCTTTGGGCTTTGTTATCTGAAAAGTCTATTATTTTTATTTGAAGGTCGTTTTTAAAAAGAAAGAAAAATACCTCTGAAATCATTCACAAGGCACGTTTCCAAAATGAAATGAAGCACTAATGTCTATTTTACTTTAAAAATCAAGGAAAAATCCAGAAGAAGGAAAAATCCAGTGAAATCCCTGTAGTGAGTCTAGGACACTGATATGACGAGGAACATGGTCGAAATGCCTGAAAGTCTTTAGCAACTTCTTCTTGTCACCAGAACTTTTAAGGTCTCTTGGTGAATGTGTTATAAGCTATCAAAATCCAGATAAGGAGGAGATTTTCTTACCCCTTAATTGTAAATTAACACATTTGATCTTAAGGTTAGAATTAAGGTGTCATGGATCCTCTGTCCCTTGTTAACATCGAATGTCATGTGATCTCACAGGATTGGATTAGATACTCAAGGCTGTGAGTTCCTCCTTGGTATTGAGATAGGCATTTAAAAAAGTACCTCTCTTTCTTCAAGCCAGTAGCTCTCTGAAGGCTCTGAACAGACTTTTACTGGCATTTATCCACATTATCTAAAATACTGAATAAAGCTGCTGAAAGGGTTTGTCCCTTTCCCGAGAAGTTGTTCACACACCGAAAGAATCTGCCGTTTAGACCAGTTTGTTCGTGGGGACTCGAGAGAGGCACAAGGGAAGTAAAACATTGATTTTAATGTCCCCTGGGTAATGAGGACTTTTGAGGTTATAGTGTTGTAGATACTTTTCTTCTCCTTGAATTTCCTGTTTCATAATTTCTTTTCTTTCCATGGTGTTCTTGATTCTTATATTAGTTGCCATTTGGGTTTTTTTGTTCTTTTATCCAAGTATTCCACACATAAAAAAAATAATGATAAAGTCCGCATAAGTCCCAGGAGGTCGGATTTGTAATCTCTATGGTTGTAAGCCAGCATGATAAAATGATTACTTTAAGCAAAGGAGGGATGGATGCCATAGATTGCTGTGGACATTTTGTACCCTCACTTCTAAAAAGCTGTCTGAAAACGATGGACCTCGCACTGAGCTTACAGAGTGTTTGGGTTTACCTGCTCCAGACTGTTTCACCAGCTCAGCGGCTTGTTGCCACTTGAATTTTATGCAGTTGGAAGAACGAGTTTTACCTTGGCCCCACAGTGTAACTCTTATCCTTTGGTAATAGAAGGATTACTTCTACACTGTCGTGTGAGATTCCTACTTAGGAGCTTAATGGCACGATGGCCGGCCTCGATCTCACATCGACAGGCATACCCACGGGGCCTTGTCCAGCCCCCTGATGTATCTGGGGTCTTTTGGCAATGGGTCATCCCTGTGTTTGTTCCCTCCCAACAAAAATAAGCTGCTGTTTCATGTGACTCCATCAGTTCCAACTTCATTGTTCTGCTCCCTTGTCTGTAGCGTTTGGTCCTATCAGCTCGAACCTGCTCCCCCTTTGATATGGAAACAGGATGTGTTCTTCAAGCCAAGTCTGATCCTCTGAGCGACACAGAGGGGCTTCAGGAAACACTCCCGTGTTTCTGGCCCAGCTCTTTGTGGGCCTCAGTTTATGTGCTTGTTTGTACCTTGTGTTTCCTCTGTCTTCTCCGATTCTCCGCAGCCTGCAGGCGTCCTGCCACAGACCCCACCACGGGTAAAGAACAAAACCCAGAGCTGTTCTGTCTCAGCCTCCAGCATCTTTCTGTAACGCTAAATATGTGATTCCACATTGATGTGGCACCAAAAGATTACATTTTGTGGAAGAGTCTGGTAGTAATAGGAGTTCCTTTCACTTGGTACAGGGTTCTGGCCACTGTATTTCATTGCTTTGCAAGAGCTGATTAATTTCTTTGTGACTTCCATTTTTAGCTTTGTATCATTCGGGAAGGAAAAAAATCCTAATTATAATTTTTGACAATCAGTTTGGTTTGCACACCTGCTTTTTTTGATGGATGTTTTTACTGTGCTTGGTGTGAATGACGAATCAGTAGGATGTGATATATTCCTTATACCTGGAAATGTATTTGGAACCTCTTTAAAAATCATTCGTTTGAGGGGTGCCTGGGTGGCTCAGTCGTTAAGCGTCTGCCTTCGGCTCGGGTCATGATCCCAGGGTCCTGGGATCGAGCCCCGCATCGGGCTCCCTGCT